CCCGTGACAAAGTCCACCCACTCGCTTGAGAACGCACCGCTCAGCTGAACGACGGCGGTGGTCTGATTAATCGCTTGGTCGTCTGATCGGACAGCCATAAACGGCTTGTTTATGGAGCATCGGGTATGTCAGATCGACCCAAAGAACTGACCATAAAGCTCCGATCTAAAATTGCATCAATGGCTCTCTCGCGGCTATATTGGTGAATTTATGCTCAAATATGGCAGTTTTTCCTTAGGCAGGCAATTTTCCCAATAAAATGTTGGTTTATGGGTGGGGAGGGAGAGTGGAGGAGGGGAAGGGAAGTGGTGTACTGGCAGGGTGGCGGCGCTGACAGCTCGTTCCCTGGTGCCAATGGGGCGCCTTCTAACGCAACCGCCTTACTATTTTCTGAGTCGAATCGGTGTGAAACTTATATGTACAATAGTTCTTAGTGCAGTGTAATGCATCGGCTATTCCTAGTAAGCTGGTCGTAGCATAAGCCAATGCATATACAAATGTCACGACGATTTTGAGCGGTGTGAAGTGCGTGGCGCATCCGAAACGGGGATTGATGACTCTGAATGCTTCAGCCTTCATCATTGAAGCTGTAGTAGTCAACAACAACAGAGTGGAAAGTGTGAAGACATCTCGGAGCTCGCCATCCCGAAAGCTGACAATGTCCAGTGTGAGAGTACTCCTACGAAGACGCCGCGCAAGATCTTTCTTTCAGAGGCAGAGACAGCGCTGTGAATAGCACACGTTGTTTTCGCCCGTCTCTGAGAATAGCCGATAATGCCCTCGACCAGTTCACTCAAGCGCTTCGTTCCTTTTCAGGTCGTTGCCTATTTGAGAGAAAAAATATTGCATCGACCGTAGGATTACAATGTGCCATGAAAAATACGCAATCAACATACCCGCACAATTTTGGAAGCTGTCCGCACACATGGCGCGGCGCACTGAAAAAGACTAGTCTGCAGAATTCCTTTTTTCTCCCTTCGCTTTATCGAAGCGTCCAAGTATGTTTATTGGACGCGTCAATATTAGACGCTAAATATTGAGCGCCTATTATAGCTGTTAGACGCTTTATCATTTTATTACGATTTTATTGCCTAAAATGGCCGCTGCTAGCGCGAAATTTACAAACAATATAAACTTCTTGTTTATTATTTGGCTGTTTATTTTAGTTTGGTTTATTTGTTTTAGTGTTGTTTATTCTTGGGGCAATCCAAACTATCATAACGTGGGCTCTCTTCATGATTGGTACCTCCACTTTCGCTTAGATCAAGTTTTGTTTAGGAGGTAGCAAGAAAGAAACTTGGGGGGGTCTTGCCAAGAAAAAATCTCATAGACCTGCTTTTCCATTTTCGCCCAATGAACTAAAACTACTGAACTACTTAAATTGTAGTAGGTTGTTTTCGATCGATCATTCTTGGCGCCACCATATGACTAAATTAATCGACTTACTTCCCTGGGTTCCTTAGAAGGAGTGTTAGCTGGCAGTGGCGCGCTCACCACGCGAGCGGTCCGGGATCAAATCCTGGGTCGTGAGTCGCCCGGGCCAACCAAGCCTTCCATCCCTCCGGGGTCGGTTAATTGGTACCAGACTTGTCTGGGAGGATAAAAACACACTGACTTGAACATCGGCTGGCCCCCGCAAGTCATTGTATAGGCCACGATCACATTCAAAAGCCATACGTACGAATGCCGCAAGTAAGTAGCAAACTGCGGCCGATCAAGACGGGGATTTATCAACGGCAAAAAGCTTTATCCTTTTTTAATTGCTTGGCACACAATATGACTGATTATCGATTTGTTTTCATTTTGTTTTTCTTTGCCAGCAGCCAGAGTTCGAAAATCAGACTCGGTGTAGAAGCATGAAGCCCCACACAACAACTGAATTATTTATGACCTCGAATCCTGCCAGATCAATAAACACCACACACCATCAAGGAGCGGTCAATTAGCGTGAGACCTGTTTAGGAGAAAAAGTCGGCAAGATCACCGATATTTCATTGCATAAATTGAATATCACTCAGTGGCTTTTGTTTCTGGGTTAAAGTCAAATGCACGGCGTATCCTAATCAGATTTGGCAGAGCTAAACGCTTTCATTTTCTTTTCTGTCAGCAACTTTGCTCTTGGTGAATATCTGTCGTATCTGAAATCGATTTCTTCGTTGTTGTTTTTTTGTTTCTCGGACATTAAAATTCTTCTCGTGTCTGAACGTGTCATCTCCGAAAGCACAGTGGGTGGTCTTGACGAGTCATTCCTTTATGACAAATTCTTCAAGCAGAAAGCACCTCATAATCCGCTCATATGCCTCATCGTGGCTCTTAGAAATTGGCATACAATATCCATTACTGCGTTGGATTATCGCTGACAGAGATTAGCCATGAATGAATCAAATTGAGCCCTGTCGGCCTCTATGAGTTTACATCCGATCTCTCCCCTTCCTACCTGGACGATAACGACTTCTTTTTATGGAAAATGGTCGCTGGAAGGAGGGTGTGGGGGCGGGAGTGCCCCGTGGGATCGGGTCTTGTCCCGGCCAACTAAGCATATCACCTGTTTCGGTTTAGGCGTTTAATATTTTCTTAGGGAGATTGCGCCTAGTGCAACTGTAAATTGATCACCACTGGTCGCTCTTTGTGTACAAAGGCTCTTAGCAGCTTCATAACCCGACCAGTTGTGACCGGTAACCCTCCTTACTGTCTGACTAGAAACTCCCCATTTTCTCGGTGTTCTTACCATAGCTAAAGCTTCAGTAGTGCTAGCGTCTTCGACGTTCTGGCTTTTCAAACGCCTGAGTAAGAAAGATTTATGGCACCACTTACCCTTTACTGCCCCACTCCTCGAAAACTGAGCTGGATTTTATCGAAATTTGTTCATGGACGGTGGACGAAGGGCGAAAGTGCTCTAGACTAAAAAGTACTTCACCTGTCCATTTGACGCGAGAACGCCTGGCGCCCGCGCCAACTGCTGGACAGAACAAACTGATCGCCAAATTTGCCGGAAACTTGTCATCAGGGGTAGTCGGTCCCGTAGAAATTACAGAATTCACATTATTTAGTTGCAAGTGAGCTTTTAGTCTGCACTACGGGCACCGGCACCAACCTGATGCAGTAGCTACTTCTTTTCGTGCTGAACAATGAGACGCTCGTGTTCTACGGGTTGGAGTTATTCCCGGAGCTAGCTTTCTGGTCAAATCCTTAGTCATGGAAAAACTTCGAGAAAAAAAATTCAGCTCAGTTTTCGAGAAGTAAATAGGGCGTAGGGTATGTGCCCAGAGCATTTGAACGTTTTGAGTGAGCTTCAGATCTATCAGCCTTCGTACCTCCTCTGCGCTGGATAACTCGCGTCTCTTGCATTTGTCTCCGGCACATTTTAATGAATGGACAAAAAACTTACGCAATCTCGTCGTTTCTGTCACCCTTCATCGAGTCACTCGCGCACGGCGTATTCTCCAAAAAAAACGCGAAAAATTCATTTTTTGTTATGATTGATTTTCGATCTGTTACCATGCGAATGTAATCGCTCTATGTGTGTGACGTGACGTGCGCAACGGTGTGCACCATTGAATCGATTCCATCCATAGTGACGATCCAGTTCGACGACATTAAACTAAATGAGAGGGCAATCGAGTTGGGCAAGACAATTTGTCTGGTCTTTCCTTCTTCATCTCTTCCTTGGTTTCTATCTGGTCCCACTTTGCTCGTCGTTTCGTGGAAAACCATGTCAGTCGATAAATTTCCGTTCTCGATACTAATCAACTCAACGCAATTGTCACACCATTTATGTTATTAAGCTACTCATCAGTCCTAATTACCGTAATCTGCAGTACTTCCCAGATTCGTCTCTCAAAAATCAAGAGCTCCATTGCCTCAGAAGGCTGTGTTATTTATTTAATTTTCCGTTGCTTCGATCAATACTTCTTTTTTCGCATTCGCTTTTTTATTATTTTCAAAAACGTAAAGTTGACAAACCAGGCAGTGAGCTATCCTCTTGGGATACGCCATGCACTCGACATCCATTCCAAATTCGCACACGTGATGTTTCTGACAAATATCGCCGTATTTTTCACTGCACTACTACTATCTTCTATGCGATTTTATCGAAGAAAAAAGCTCTAAGCGTACGGCTTCCGGTCCAATTGTGACATTGATTCTCGTGCCAAGCCAAAACAATGTCGTTCTCCCACTGCCTCTCAAAAACTAGCTCCACGATTGGTGAAAGAGCATTCCGTTTAGTACGCTCACTTTTTCAATGTTCCTATTTTAAAACATATTTTTGCGGTTTGATTTTCGAGTGCGCCATGTATTTGACTTTATTCGGAATGGTGGAAACGTTTGGATGTCCAATAATCTCAAAACTGGCATTGATGGGCCAGTTAGCGCTCTTATCGTTGGGTTTATGTTCCTCTTTGAGCAGCCAAATATTAAATATCGACCTTTGAGAAAAAGCTATCTTGTTTGCTGCCTTTTCTGTGAATCGACCAAAATTGCACTTGATTGTGAAGCCCCTATCAGAATGACTTGAAATTTGGCCCAGTACGGCCAGAAATCGGCTACTTTCTGCGGTTCACTGACCAATTTTCCCCCAGTTGACTGCTATGTCCGTAAAAAGCAACCATACACATAGCAGAGAGCAAAGTCAATATGAGCTCAAAGAGTAGCTAGCTAGCTGTGAGTCTAATGAGCCTAATTCGCTTCATATTCTCCCTCATGCTCACCACTCTACCGCCCCATGAGCTCCTGTTGGTGCTAATTCGCCCGTGGTTGCATATGCCCTCTTCATCATATTTTGTCCATTGGAGCGTAACGTACTCTTCACGATATTTCTATTCTTTCCACCAATTCGGGAAGCTCCAGCCGGCTTTTTCTATCAGGTAGAGTGAAAAGCTTTTCCACCGAGTTCCGCATTTTTCTGCCCTTTCTAAGATGTGGTCGTCCTGAAGCTGCCAATTTGACCACATTTGACGTCCACACCCTCATCCCGTGGCCGTAATCGATTTTACTCAGTAATGCTCTCACGGCTCTCGCCGACAATTCACTTTTTGCCACTTTATCTCGGCACATCTAATCGGAATGTGCTGTCGTCAACCCTGATCGTTGACTGCCTACTTTCAGACTCTTTTCCTCAGCCGCTATCGCAGAACTCACAAGGAAGGAGGTAAGCACCTTTTCGTTCCTCTTTCCTCTCTTTTTTCTTTTTTCCTTATAAAGAAGTGCATCTATGAGATGCCATTTTTCAACCGTAATGTCCCAGAAATGGCTCGGCACCTCTTGAAAGCGCGGACACGAAGACTTCACTTTACTCCACCAGCGACTCAATAACGACGCTGTCAGCGACTATCTGGCCTTGGTGAGTTACCTGGAAAGCTTCTTTTGAACTGGGCCATTTCGGACAATAGCAAAGGTTCATGAATAGCACTAAACAGACAACTGACCTCTTGCTAGCCAGCCAGGCGGCCATCTGCTGCTCAACGGCCAACCATCACCCGCGTCTGCTATCCCCTCTTGCAACAAAGTCCATCATCCACTGTGTCTGTCCATCGATATGTTCATTTGCTGCACGCGTAATAGCTTTTCTGCAACGCGCATGTCTTCTGCCTGCTAATCAGATTCCATTCAGTTCTGAATGGACGCAGAGACCTAATGACACACTGATTCCTCTTATGCTCGATTTGTCCACTTTGCTGAATTAATTGAGAGTGTTTCCTTGTTTGGCCAGTGATTCATTGATCCATGCCGCCGTTTGGCAATTCAGCTGTCCATCAGCGATACCTCCCGAAGAGACTTAGCTAATGACGTGCCGATGTTCGTTACGTATTCATTGCTTTCTCGTGAATCCGCCGAACCTTTTTTCGTTGTGTTTGTGTTTCACACGCACCACATTTTCGGTCTATTCATTCGTTTTCCGTCTAACACACGCCTTAGCCCAGTGCTGCCCGCTTTTGGAAACGCCAATTTGCACACGGCTAATGAGCAGCTTTCGGCAGAAACCAGCCACAAAGTCTTTTGATGAAGCGCTTGAACGCAGCCTCGTTGAAGTCCAGTTGAGCAGGCCAGTCCGTCATGGCTCGGTGAGATTCATGTCGGTTCGTTAGTCATTGATAAAAGGTTACCGTTAATCTTCGGCTTCAACGACCCGCGTCGAATTCCCCGTCTGCCTCACTGCTAACGCGATTTCTCAGTTTGTCTCCGTTCATTGAGCTCAACGGACCATAGCGGACGCTTTCATACTCTTTCTGCTTCCTCTTTTCCCAGTCATTCCCAATGAGGGAGAATGTTGTTCAGGGGATAGAAGGGCCGCTTCACATTCTCTCACATGCCACCTTGGGTTTCAAGCTTTTCCGAATCTTGTACTACTTTTATTTCTTCCAAATTGAAAGGTTATCTGCACTACAATAATTAGTGGGATAAAACACCGGAATTGTGCACATGAAGAGACCTCATAGATTCGGACCGATGTCCAATATGTGCGGCATCCTATGGGCAAGGGCCTCAGTTCGTCTCTTCCCTGTTGTAGTCTACAAAGGAAATATTGCAGCAATTGTTTCTGAAACTTCGACATGAAGAGATCAGAGTGCTTAGAATGAATAATATTACCTAGAATCAAATTTGTTCGAGTTTAGTCTACACTTTTCTTTACAATTTTCAATTTCCCCAACTTCATATCTGTTTCCGCTTAGGCTTCAGGGCTAACAACACTGTGTGCTCTATGGCCCTACTTTTTTTTGTCGGTAAAGGTTACGCGAAGTCGGGCAGCACCTGGCTTTTTTCAAAAACTCAACCCTATTACTCTTAGACAGGGTTGGTGTGACGGGGGTCATCATCACCGACCTGTCACCTGGGACGCTGTACTGAAACCACTTTTGCAATTTCTGCGCAGGGCATGGTTTAAGCCTCGGCAGGGATTGAACGCGCGTCTTTCAGAAGTGCCCACATGAGACTACACTCTTAAAGGCAAACCCTGCGATTAGCCCGACTTGGGAATTATACCGCGAGGGAAATTGTAAGGTCCCTACCTACCTAGATCACTCCAGCTTCGCCGCAAAAGTTGCGCGGTGAGGGCGCTAATCCTTACGGGCCTGCAACCATCGACCCCCGTTGCAACGCTTCCCACCTAGATTGATATACAGATCAGCGTGCTCTCTCGACAAAGCGCTCTCTCGCGTGTTTTGTCTTCTTTGATCGCCCTGTCTCGCCATCGTACCACATCCGACCTTCCTTGAAGGTTAAGGCCTTAACTGTCAGCGTTCCCAAAGATTCTCTCACTTTCACGCCGTTCTGCAGCTCACCATCAATCATCAGGGCTTGCCTTCAATATTTCGGCTACACCTCCTTTCACCCTATTACTCAAACTTGAATCCATTTATTTGCATACCATCCCGGCTCTATTTATCCATGAATTTATACTGTTACGCTTTGACCTATAAGCAAATAAATATTCCTATTTTATATCTCTCACCAGACCCAATCTTTAAGACCGCACGATCTTCCTTTTTGGATGCGCCATACACTTCACCATCATTCAGAATCATAGTGATATTTGGATGCGATTTACGTCACGAAGTGGAGATCAAACAATGTAAACGTCCGCTTTTTCACACCCTTATGAAAATCTAGCGAATGATCGATATGGGAGTGGTGGAAGACTTAGTTGACCCGAGCTGAAGTCAGTCCGAAACGTGTCGGCGTGATAAGTGGCGCCACTTGCCACTACACCGCCTCCGCCTACTATGACCTTGCATGATAGAAAAGACGTTTTTGAAGAAAACTTCCCAATTTGAAACACCTCGCAGTTTAGGTCGATTCGAAGCATAATCTTATTATACTGAGAAATGAAGGTCCGAGTGCCCGTTGATTATGTATTTGTATACGCCACACATCCTACGATCGTTTAGAATTGTAGAAGCATTTGAAGGCCAAATCATGCATTGCTGAGACAAGGCAAGGCATAATTCGCATTTCCCTCTTCTGACCAGTCCAGCGCCCAATATCTGTCCGCAGGAAGGCCAAAGGCTCCGTTAGGCGTTTGATTCGACTCAATAAATCGTGCAGAAATGGGGTAGCTCCTAGCTCCTTAGGTACTCTCATCCCTTCTCATCAGAAATGACGATTTATGTCTCGGCGCTGCTGGCTGGCGTATGCGACTGGACTCGGTGGTCTAAGCTGATCTTCAGTCATGCACCCTTTTTCTGCATAATCTAATTAGTGTAATCCAGAGAAATCGATAAGATCTTCTTGCTTAGAGGTTATTCAGCGCTCATCTCGGGGATGAATATGTCCCCGAATAATGAAACGAGGGAAAAACTGAACTGAAGTGACAGCCATTGAAGCTGCATGCGGGCTATTGAAAAGCCATAGGAATTTGAGATTTAGAAAAAGACAAGAACCTAGGAAATGGCTCCTGAAATAAAAGGAAAAGAGATGAGATGGTTTCCAGCGGAGCGGCCCTTAATGCCATTTATGGCGCGCAGATTAGCTACGCATATGGCACACGCCGGGTTCTTCCTACAAGTGTATTGCACCATTGGCTAATGACGTAAAAAAACCGTTGGAAGGGGAATTTTTGGCCGATACGCTCACTCGAGCGTGTCGTGATAGGCAGATTCTAAAGTCCGGGTTTCTTTTTCCGTGCCATAAATGGCTTCCATACCTCTAGTAGCCGATTCCCATGGGATGTACATATCCCATTACTGGCCTGGATTCTGTCCTTGTACGTGTTTTCCCGCTCGTATCCCTCCCAACTAATCCGCCAGTGCCGTTCTCCATTGATCAGTTATCTCATTGAAAACGCATATCGCCCCATTGCCAATTCGCCATAACCTCCATAGAAACCCCATTTCGTTCAAACTTCTCCACTTGATTGACGAGCTTGGATTGCTGGGCAGTTTAGTTTGTGTTGAGGCTAACAAACTGATTGGATTTCTCGCGTTTTCTCACAGAGGCCTTCTTTGCTGGCTGGGGAGCTAATGGGGAGCATTGTTCAGTTGATTTTTTTCATTTCAAAGGCATCATCGAACCTGACCGAGGCAGAATTTCGCGAGTATGCTGAGCTGTTGCATCGATCGAAACACGGTGAATTGCCGTTGAAGGAACTTCTCCATAAACTTATGGAACTATTCGGTCCATGGAGAAAGCACCTTTTGACAAGTAAGCCGCTCTTTGTTTCAATCCTATTCTTATTGGTTTATGCAAACTGCAATTATACCCTATCTTGAAAAAATAACTTATCCGCCTCAATTTGAGGGCATTATTGACATTCTCTTTCTCAGAAAGGTCTCAAGCAGAGTCAACCCTGCGTTGCGCAGTTCTCAACGGCCACGTTGCGCAGTTTCGCCCGATTAGACACGTTCTCTCGCGCGAACATTCACACTCGCATGCTCGAGCCGTCTGTGTCTCCGCCCATACAGCGTGCGTTGAGGATCTCTCAACGTGCCGTTGCGAACTGCGCAACGCAGGGTTGACTCTGGTCAAGATGACAATTTGCTCCAGTCCACTTTTGGCTCAAGCAGACCGTGGAACTTCGCGATTGCTCTCAGCTTATTCTTATGCTCGCTTCTCGTTATCGTTACTGTAACATTCCCTTTCAAAAAACTAGAAGAGCATCGGGTGCAGACCATACACCACAAGTGACGACGGCCTCAAGTAATCTGGTTAGTAGTGGTTTATAGTGATAACTGATTTTGCTAAAAGATAGTTGTAATTAGTGAGCTTTTGATCAGCTGGACAAGCACATGACTTCATTAGCAAAACATTTACATTTGGGGAAGCCTGTCGTTCACTTGTGTGTATGGTCCTCACCCGACAATTCTTTTCTTGACAAGGGAATGTTGTGTCCTTGTAACTCGGAATGAATATGAACGTCTATGAAAAGTTACCTAGTAAACGCTAGGACTAAACCTATGAGGGGCTAGGGTGTCTTCCGGGAAAAACGAAAGTGCTTATAAGAACCAGGGGTCTCACTCGTTTCTTCTACAGGCTTAGTCCGAAAAGTTACATAAAATGTTTTGGTGCGATAAAGTGGGATGGATAGGCCGTATTTGTTGAATACGGTAGGCGCGAAGTGTATGTAAGTGGGGATTGCTGCTTACTATAATGATTCACTCAGAACTGAGGGAATTTGTCAGCCAGAAGAGTGTAACCAATCGAGGGGAGAGGAGTGGGGGACTGGGCAGTCCTTGAATGCGTTGAAAAGCTGAATGTGTGAGTCATATCAAGTGCTCTCGTCGCGTCACAGTCCGCAGGCAGCCCCCCCCAGCAGCTCCGCACTTAACATTTCGCGCCTACCGTTTCAAAAAAATACGGGGTGCCCGTCCCACTTGTATTCCGTCGAGGGTCTCGCCCACCCCTTCTAAAGCTTGGACGTAACATGAAAGTTTTAGGATGATGGTATTGTGGAACAAAACTTTCGCGCCAGGCGGGGCGTAGTTTCTTAGAATGCTTTTTTAACGCGTGATTCGTTCTAACACCTAGTGACTCGCCCCCCACACTTTCAGGAGAGACCCCTCTATTTTAATTAAATGCGGCCATGGCAGCATATGATGGTTGGACCTCCTTACGATCTGGTTGTTTTTTTTTTCCTGGCGTGTACCGATTATAGCCAGGGGCCAGTTCTATGCCGCTTTTCGGCTTAATTCCATGATTTTTGATTCATTAGTGTGTCCCAGCTTGATTTTTGGATTTTATCACTAAAATCAAGGCGGCCACCTTATTCTTTTCTTCAGATGTCATCTTCCTTTTAATTTCTGCATTTTTCCCTATTCTTTTCGCACCATCGAGTGTAAGAAAATGAAATTAAATAAACTAGTTTGCATGTAGAACAAATGTAAAATTCAAGAGCAGTTCAAAAGAAGTAGGCGGCTTTCGACGAATTTCCATATTCCCACGTTGTATAACCCATAACTCACGTGTGACAAATTTACGGCACGATGTAGCGCCACTACACGCTGGGCTTATTTATTGTCTGCTTGTTGCTGTGTAAGCTCACCGTCAATCGATATTCGTCACTCTCATTCTTTTGTATATACATATTTTAACGGGTCTATTCCAGTTAGGGGGCATCATGATGCAGTTTCTCGGCGAACTAGTGTGAACTCGAACATTCCAGCTTTTCACGCATGTCAAGTGACTGCCCTCACCCCCACCCCCGTAGACTGGCTACACTCCCCTGGCTCGGAGTTACCCTAGCTTTCTGGCCCCCGTAACTGGAATAGACACTTTTCTACGTTTCAGCGGTTCAAGCGGTTACATTCTTCCGTTTTCTAGTGCTAGAAAATGATTCTGAAGCTGGGCAGAAGAATAATGCACACGGCGTCATTAATCCTTGTTTGGGATGCATCACGCAATCTACTTAACTTCAGAATTGTTACAGAAATTGAATGCGATTTGTTTTATACAATTACTGTACAATGACTAGCGAGGGCAGCCAATGCCGTTAATTGTAAGGTAGGAGGCGGAGGGAGGCACGCGGCGGTGCCGCGTCTGTCAAGCGCGATGGCACTAAGCCTGAGCCTGGGAAGGAAGCTCAGAAGTGCCAAAAGTTGATTCTGCGAAATCACAAATCACACTGTTCACAACTTACCCACTTTTCCTAGGATAAGACCTAGTGCCGTCGCGCTAGAGAGACCGCACCGGTGATTTGGACGAGCAGAGTTGCCAGCAGCGGCACAACTGGAGCAACTCGATTGGAGTGTGGTTTGGCATGGTGTTACCAAACGCGTTGCGCTGAACTCGTTCATACGTCCGCTTTCTGAGCTGTACCTGTTCATGAGTGAAAACCAACGGCCAAAAAAGGGGGTCCCATTTTGCGTTTTTTGACGGATTTCTCCGCTTTTTCGCCACTGGCGTACCATTGAGCACCACCACGTCTCCTCTAAACCTTCTTGAATCTATCGTAATCGCTGCCTTCAAAGGAGGATTCCACGATAAGAGCGAAGGTTGAAGAAGGGGGTTTTTAATCTAGTGGAGAGACAGACGGACCCCCTAACGATAAGGGTGCGGACCAACACGCAGTTCTCATCGATGGATATCATCCCGGTAATCTAGGCTGCACAGTTGGCCCGGAACGCCTACCGACTACCCTAGGATGGCCATTCCTTCTGCACAGTTGGCCCGGAACGCCTACCGACTACCTAACAACTCGCAGGAGGTCTATACGCGGTAAGTGATTAGGTAGGCGCTTGACAGCTAGAGCGGAAAGGGCTGTAATTTCTCTTTTTTGCCCACTTTTCCTTTTTTCTCACTTGCCATCCGCTTCCCATTCCTACTTTTATATTTGAGTGGGATTACCTCATCAAGTCTGATCCCAATCCTTGCCTTTACGTCTGCAACGCCATGATACATATCGACATGAACAATGGCTTGCAGATGTTGGTTGATGTGCTAGTCAACCTTTGAGGTGCGC